CGCGTTGGATTTCTAAGATATCTAGTCCACAACAATAACTTAGGGCGAACGATTTTCAACATGATCGGTTTACGCGGGATGTAGTTAACCGGGTTCGCGTCCTAAGTGGGTAAGTCCGTTTTCACACAAACAATGAACTTGTTGTGTAGGGTTCCAACATTTATGGGATAAGTGCATTGAAAGTCTCATAACTTGTCACAAAAGTGCAATCGAGTCCTAAAAGTTGTCACGAAAGTACAATTGAGCCTTAAAATTTTTAAAATGTGCAATCAATGGAAGAAAGGACTTAATTGGACCAATTTAACCAGTTTTAGTACTTGATTGCAATTTTTGAAAGTTTTAGTACTCAATTGCACTTTTGTGACAAGTTCTAGGACGTAATTGTACGTTGTAAAAGTTTTCTGACTCAATTGCACTTTCATGATAAGTTTTAGGACTTTCAATGTACTCATCCCAACATTTATAGTGCATTTAGACACGTCTAATTAGATGGGGTTATAAATGTTATTCGAATTGACGTGGCATGTCCACTAGACACATTTAAACACGTGTATGGACACCCAAACCCACGTTAAACGTTCATATGAGGCATCACATCTTGCCCACATCAATCATGCCACATCGTATGTGTTGCTCGTTCAGTGAACACCGTGTCAAGGTTTCAACGTGATGACACGAATAACAAATGGGCAATTAGACCTAAATTTGACATGACACTTTTATTACGCGGAATAATGGACGAGCCTAGATGCTCTATTACCATTAAGTTTTGCTTTTTTTTTTTTGTCGAAAGAAAATTGTAGCCATTGCTTAAAAGGATACATGGGAAGTACAGCGACTTTCATGACAAAGAAAATCAAAGCAGAGCAAATCCCAGAATACAACAAAACAAATTCAAATCCAAATCCAAAAAACAAAGAGGATCAAAAGAGCATCGGCAAGGTTAAGCACAGATTCATTCCATAAAAATGGATCTGTCAAGCAAAATAATCAGTGGCCGATCACTGGATCTTAAATCATCTTCAATGATGAGCACACGCCGGAAAGTCCTTCTCCAATAACTACGGCGTTGCCTGTTGGCGGTGCACGCCCAAATTCGGCTTCCTTTGCACCATCGCCAGACAGAGACAACTAAAACGGGTTGAAAAAACACAGATCTAACTCTTGGAAGAGCAAATCTTTATGGTTCAGCAAGACGCCAAAACTCCTATGATCATCAATGAAATTGGAGGTGGAGAATCTGTACAAAAACAGAGCACGGGGATATCGAATCCCCAAAAACATTATTAAATTCTCAAATCTAAACCGGGAGAGAAAAACTCATAGATCTAGAACTAAATAAGGAGTGTTGACACTCTTGATTATAGAATTATATCGGGAAAAGAGAGCTCTCGGATTTAGATCAGGAGAGAAGAATAAAAAAAACAAAAACACTCAAATAAAATCAACGGGAGGGGAGGGTGAGACTAGCTCAAACCCTCCCCCATGACTGAAGCTCGAAGAAGACGATGGAGAGACAATAGAGAGAAAAACTTTTCGACTTCTGTGAAAATAGTTTTTTGGGCACCATTAAGTTTTGATGAAAATGTGTTTTGTTTAACACGTGCTAAACAATCGGGAGCACAATTTAAAATTTACCTATAAAATCTGTTTGCCAAGTCATGCGACAGATAGCAAATGAGTATTTAATCATATTCCTATTACACCCAATAAAAGTTGAGCGTATCACTTAATATACTAATTACATGATCCAACACTAAATACCAAACGTAGGTTACGATTTCTAATGCATTTAATCTTTCTCAATATCCTCATGATTCCATTTCAAATTCTAGGATTAAGTTGTCTCGATTATGTAAAGAGACGATTAGGAGGAAAAAGTAGCGTTTGAGTTTCGGATGGAACGGTTAATTAATTAAGGTTTTTTTTTTTTTCAAGCTTGCAATTGTTTTATCGAGTCATAGCTATATCAATCATATGAACAAATCTCTCTCTTTGCTTAGTTCTTCAAAAGTAACAAAATCTCTTCAATATCCGGGCCAAATTGCAAAATTGGCTCCTCACTTGCAATCAATTTTTCTACTACTTTACTGTACAAGAGCGAACCGATTACTTCGGTAAGTAATGGGATCCCATCATGTTGATGCCGTAAACATGAGGAAATCTCGAGATGTGGACTAAGAATAGATTTGATAATAGTGTTGCAATTATCCTAGTTCCATAACCAAACCAATCAAGCTTTTCTCCAGCAACTTTGTGGAGATGCGACCGTACCTCGTATTCAGTGATATCTCTTTAAGAAAAAAATGGAATCCTTTGGCAACACGATCAACCTCGTGTTCTCGCTTTAGGATATCGCACATCAACTTGCTTTGCAAAAACCAAACACCTCCATGTTATTTCATAGCTACTCCGATATCTGCACGGAAACTACAACAGTCGAATCGAGATGAAATTTGCTCGTAAAAGTGGCAAGAGTCCCCATCCCCAATCTTCACTATGCACAGATCAGCTCAACTCGTCCTTTCCAATGCGGGCAGCACAAACTCAATAGCCATTTCGCCAAGACATGGACCCGTCATGTTTATGTTCTGGAAATCGCGTTCTTAATATAAGGGAGAACGAAAAAACATCATCATCTTGGCGTTCGCGGTCCTCTTTCCTTAGATTGAACTCCACGCATATAAAAATGGAATCCAGCCATTATGAAAAGAAGAACACGCCATGACCAATACGGATCCAAGGCTCCGACTTGGGCACTCTTTTTAGAATAATTAGTCTAATTTTTTTTTCTTTTTTTTTTTAAATACTAATGCAACAGCAAGGTGAATGAGAGGTCACCCTGATGGCTGCATAAGCCACACAATCCATATCTGTAGATAGGATCTCCGGGCTTCAAATCTTCAGGCCTCACCACCTTCGACATCAACTGCGTCCATATTGTCATTACCTTGTCGATGATCTCCCTCACCATTTTGGCCCTTGCTTCACGCACTTGGGCCAGTGCTTCAGGATAAAGCAACTGGGATTGTTACTGCGAGTCCCATATTCCTTAGATGTGAATATTGCGGGCCGCCTGGCCCAGCCCCGACCACCAAGTCGAGGTCGCGAGGCTGGCCGGCAGCCGGCAAATTCAAGTGAATCAAATCCAAGCTCTCCGGGCTTTAAAAACAGCAAAGCAGAGTCCGGATAAGTGTAAGGGAGGTGCTGCCCACCTTGATGGTGGGCTAATATCAGTTGATGATACCATGAACACTCGCACCACCATGATCTCAACAATAATGGTCTAAGTAAAACAGCAAGCCTATCATATCAAGATATAAAACGGTGAACAAGAAAGAGCAATCTGAGAAAGGCAGGCTCAATTCGAACATGAACTCCACTTAGACATCCACTCGAGACATTCACGGTTCTATCTTATTTACCAGACAGTACTGCAGTAGATCTAGAACATTGAAAAGAAAAACATCAGACTGAAACTCAACTCCCCCGGCCGCCTCCGTAAAGCCGCCGCCTCCCTCCTTCTTTCGTCTTGGACATCCTTCGCGTTCAATTCAAGGCGGGAGGAGGATTGTTGAAATCATGGGCCGACCAAAGCTGTTGCGCTATGTAATAGCTTCCTTCTGGTTCTTGCAACAAATGGAACGACTGAGGGCAGAATCAGATACACGACTCTCAGTATGCAATACGATCGATTAAACGATTGATAGAGAAATTTGCAAAGAATTCACAAGAAATATAAACTTATCAAAAAGGGTAAAATTTCTTTAGGCATCAATTAGCGCTTTTTTCCGAAACTTTCATCGGAGCAACAACAATTCGGTTCGCCATAAATCTTATAAACAGATACTCCGCTAACAACAATGGATGAAGGGATCACCCAAGTAGGTGATATTCACTCAACAAAAACGCCATCTCATCCAAACCATCATCCTTCGACACTCAAAAAAGAAAAAAATTAAATAAAATATATCAATGGATGCTTCAACCGATACACAGAGAGAGAGAGAGAGAGAGAGAGAGAGAGAGAGAGAGAGAGAGAGAGAGAGAGGCCTGGTGGAAAAGGTAGGCGTCCGGCTTGCCGTCTAGCCACAAGTAGCCGTCGGCCAAGGCCAGCACGCCGCCGGTTGCGCGGCAGGGCAAGCAGGAGATGCCGCTGATCTGCTGCTGGCACTGCTGAAGGGAGGCGAGCTTGGCGACGATAGCCTCCTTGCCCCGGATGATCTGGCCGCTGAAGTTCATCCCCGACTCTTCCCGGTACAGGTTCACCAAGTCCGCCCGGTTCGCGTCGAACGTCTTGAAGTAGTTCTCCACGAACCGCTTGGGCTCCGCCATCATCAGATCCATCTTTTCTCGGTTGCTCGCGAATTTCGCCTTCAGCAGATCCATCTTTTCTCGGTTGCTCGTCGTCATCTCTCCTTCTGGTTCTGTGTGCTTCACATCCACGACATGCAGACGGCGGTAACCCAAGACGACAAGAGAGAAAAAGCGAGCCCTGGGGATTTTGAGAGTTCTCATTTTATTTGGAATCGTCGGGTCCACCCGACCGACCCGAAACCGGTCCTTCGGGTAGAAAGACTAAAAAGGCCCCCCTTTTCTCTTCTTTTTCCAGTTCAGCCACTGTTCTTCTGCTCTGTTCGGACGCAGCAGTAGAGAGACATCCGGTAAGTTCTGCGTGCGGCTTCCTCTAGATTGACAATATTTCTTAAGAGGAGGCATGATTCTCGGTATTTGTTGGTGCTGCATTGCATTCTGTAGGCTTCGATTTGTCCTCCGTTCTATTTCCTTATTTTTGTCTATCTGCTAACTTATGATATCGAAGTTTCGTTGCGTCCACTTAACTTTCTACGGCTCTACTGATCTGAACAGACGGCACGTAATTCTTGCTGATTAGATGGGTCTTGGATAAGTCTTTTCTCACGAGGAAAATTTGTGCGCTGAAATTGCTTCTTTGTTTTCCGTGTAAGCTGTCCTTTATGTTTTTTGCGGCAAAAAGCATTGCCTCTTTTTTTTAGCATCTCCGTTTGAAGAAAATCCATATCCATTCTTAGTTGTAGCTCCACTTTCTACTTTGCGGTGACTACGATTTTCGCTTTCCCAAAAGCAAGCAAGAAGCTCAAGAAAATAAATCTGGCCAGCTGGTTATTGAAACCAAGCAAGATAGCACAAAGCTCGATGTCCCCTTAATATCATATGAGATGATTAATCTGGACGCGGCATCATTGAAGCCGGTACAATGGGGATGCACGGTAAGATTTCGTTGGTTATTAAGCTCATAAATAGTATCCAACATGCTGAAGGGCTTGACACGATGGGTTCTTTCAGATTGTTGATGAAGGAACTAACTAGTTTGTCTCCCGTGCGAAGGAGCAAAATATCACACTTTAACTTCTCGGTGAAAAATCTGATTTTTAAGTGGGGTGAGGATAATCTTTTTTTGTTCATATTCGCGATACACGTCATCATGTATGATGAGGCATTTTGCTGAAATTACGAGACTCTCTGTTTACTGCATTCTCTCGATTTTCTTTTTATAGTTCTGCACTACGGGTCCTGTTTACTGGTTTTTCATGCGGGGGTCTATTTGAAGTACCGGAAGAACGAATACTTCTCATGCTCTATGGGATCAACAATTGCCGGAGAAATTGGTGCATATGGCTATAGACCCTTCCGTACTCATGGATATGCTTGCTGATGAGAGAGCTGAAGTTGTTAGAAGCTTATATGAGGTCTTTTTCTGGGGATTGCTCTCCTTCGGGCCTGGAAACTGCTCTGCGGTCTGACTCACTGGACCGGCCTAATACTAATTCTATTGACAGGACTGAAGAATGTAGGCATGTCATTATTACATATAATAGTCATATATCCACGTTTCTGAAAGATCAACGGTTGGTCTTAATTTGTCCATCCTAATTTTTTGTTGAATTTTTAAACAGCATAGACTTGGTTAGACTAGAAGAAGAGGTATATCCTTCCAACCTCAATCCATGCTTATCTCATTTTCGTAGCATTGTTAAACCTTGTTCCTCAGACTTTCCTTGGCATTGGTGGCCACTTCTCTAATAAGGCTGAGTTCGGTGTTAGGCCTTGCAAGATTGATCTTCATTAACTTTAGTACGAAGATCTTTACGAACTTGTCTAGTACAGGGCAACTGAGAAGAGAATGCTTGGCCGAATCGATGCGTCTAACCAAAAAATCCTATTTCCTTCCAATTTTGCAATCTTCCCATTCTTTACCCGTGGCTCTCTCTTCTCCTAATTCCTTCCAAACCACTTCCTTCCTGCTAGCTCCCAAGTAAAATCCCGAATTGGATTCCATATTGACCGGTTTAGTGTGAGCTTGTCCATCGTCTTTTAAACCGTGCATATTTAGATTTGTCTCAAGGCTACGAAAACGAATAAAAAGAACAATTCTAGGAATTAAAGAAAAAGATGTAGAGGAGGACCTAGAGTTGTCAAAAAAAGTTATGAAGCAATATACTGGTAGGATGAACGTTATATTGGAGGGAATCCCTGAACACAACCCAAAAAAGTGAGTCTCAGTCCAGTATTGAGGCAATTGGGCCCATGCATTTTTTTTTTGTTGATTTGCAGATTTGGATCAACCACGAATGCCAGAAAAACTACGGATACAAAAATAGTTTGCATTACACAGTTACACTCGTTTTTATGTGACATCATTGAATTATTAGTATGAGATTGTCTAAAAGATAAGCTGCCTCACTCTCCTGCCAAAACAAAAGATTATTAAATCATGTACCAAATAGTAGATCAGACATTTGGGCACCCTCCATGTGTAGGTATATGGATGACAGCAGCGTCTGTTCGTAATCTTGCTTATTTGGAGATTGGTATTTGAGGTCGTCCTATGATTTGGGTTTGGTAGTCTTCTAGAACCCTAACCAGCAAGAGCTGCCAATGCCCTGTTTGCAGCCTATGCTGTCAATTGGTCAGTCAGCCTATCTGTATTCCGATATCGGCTAAAAAAGAATCTACATGATGGTCGTGTTTTTACATCCTATGTTTGTTGCAAGGATAAAATTCTCTGACTTGAGTATGTAGCTGCCCAGAGTTTAGACTTATTTAAGTGAGGATTCCCTCTTTTGACATCTTCTGTGGAAATTTGCTTTCTGTTTCCTTCGAATATCGCTGGTACTTTGCGTGTGCATCTTATGTTTTACCACTGATGCTCAGGTATGTTAGAAGTATCAAGGGCAAAGTGGTCTTTAGGACTCTTACGGTTTATTGGGCTACCATTGTATAAATACGTTATTTTGCTGAATAATAAATCAACTTTTCCTCTCTAACATGGTATCGGAGCAACAAAAATTCTAAACCCTAAACAGCTGCTTACCACCGTCTACCTCCGGTCGCCGCCGTGAACCATCCACCGTCGACCACCAACCATCCCCCTTCAATCAACCCTCTTCTCACCGGAATCTTTAGATCTCGCGTTGCCCAGGCTCGGTGAGCCTTACCAGGGCGTCATCTATGCCGGCGAGCCTTGCCAGGGCGTCGCCTGACGTCGCCTAGGCCCGGCAAGGCCAGATCTAGAGTCAGCAAGACCCAGCGACCCATGTAGAGACGTCACCCAACGTCACCGAGGCCAGCAAGTCCAAATCGAGTGCTGTCCATCGTCGGGGAGTCTTGTAGAGAGGTCGTCCAGCATCAGTGAGGCATCGTCCATTGTCAGTGAGCCAGATTCAGCACCCATGTCTCTCGGTTAGGACTCACAGGTTTGATTTTTTGGCGGCTTGATGGTTACTGAGCTTTATAGCAGGAATTTTGAGGCGTTATTTGTTGATTAAGCTTGATAATGATGTGGGTAGCGCTTTATTCGAGATATGGATGTGTTTGTGGAATGTTTCTGAATTTTTCGGAACTTATGCGATGCTGATTAGGTGAATTTTGGAGATTTTGGAGTTAATTATTTGGGGCTCTGGTGGATTATTGAATTGTTAATGATGGATGATTCGAGTAAAATTGATGGTAGTTCTGGAAAGAGTGATACCGTGACGACTGAGGTAATTTCCTCTTCATCTTCTCGAATTACTGACAAGAAGCTTGAGGGTATTACCAATTTTCAACAATGGAAGAAGATTGTTAAGTTTGTTTTGACGGGTAGAAATCAGCATATGCATTTGACTGAAACTAAACCTACTAATGATGCAAATTGGGATGTTATTGATGCACGTCTTATGGGTCAGCTTTTGAACTCCATGGAGAGCAATATTGTAGACTTGGTAACTCATATTGATACAGTCAAGGACTTGTGGGAGTACTTAGATGTATTGTATTCTGGCCAGAACAATATTTCTAGGATATATGAACTATCACAGGAATTTCACCGATCTGAGAGCAAAGGGCGTTCTATTGATCAATACTTTGCTGATTTTAATAGAATGTATGAAGAATTGAATGCTCTCCTTCCTATTTCTTCTAATGCTGAACAAATGCGACTCCAAAGAGAACAGTTGGTTGTAATGAATTTTCTAGGAGGTCTTGCTCCAGCCTATGATACTGTTAGGTCTCAGATTCTTGGAGGAGAGACTATTGCGTCACTTAGGGATACATATGCTCGAGTTCTTCGAGCATCCCGTGGTTCTTCTCAGAGCACCACAGCTGTGGTTGATAATTCAGCTCTTGTTTCTCAATATCGAACTGGTGGAGGTAGGGGTGACGAAGGAAATCGTGGAGGGTATAATGGTCGTGGTGGCCGTGGTGGTCGAAGCACAGGAATAGGAAGAGGCCAAGGACAAAGGCAGCTTTATGGATCGTCCCAAACTACTGCTGAGAGCTCAGGGACTATTCGAACTTGTCATTATTGTGGAAAACCTGGCCATATTCAGAAATTTTGCTACAAGTTACATGGTAGACCAGGACAGCAACAACAGTTTGCAAATGCTGCATCTGGCACTGACTCTTTGTCCCTACCACAGCCTTCACAAGGCAATGTAGTGGTTATGTCTGATGAGGAATTTGCACGGTACAACCAGTCTCAGATTTCACTACCTACTTCGTCTTCCACTGCTACTCTAGTCCAGACAGGTAATGCTACTGCATGCGTTTCAGCTAGTTCTCACCCTTGGGTTATTGATTCAGGGGCATTTGATCACATGTCAGGTCTTTCAGGTATATTTTCCTCTCTTACTCCATCATCGTCCACCGTTACTTTAGCTAATGGTTCATCTACACATGTTAAGGGAGTTGGCACAGTTCATCCAACTCCCTCACTGCCTTTGACCTCAGTGCTTTATCTTCCACAATTTCCTTTTAATCTCATGTCAGTCAGTAAGTTAACTAAAACCTTTCAGTGTTCAGTAACATTCTATCCTGATTCTTGTATATTCCAGGATCTGGCTACGAAGAGGACGATTGGTAAAGGACGTGAGGAAGGGGGACCGTATGTGCTTGAAGACTCAACTTCCTTTGCATGTTCTAGTGTTATTTCTCTACATCAGATCCATTGTCGTCTTGGTCATCCTTCTCTACACAGTCTTCAGAGATTGAATTCCAGTTTTAAATCTATTTCTAGTTTAGAGTGTGAGTCATGCCAACTTGGCAAATTACATCGTGTTAGTTATCCGTCTCGAGTCATTAAACGAACAAAGTCTCCATTTTTGTTAGTTCATTCAGATGTTTGGGGTCCATGTCATGTGACTTCCAAGTTGGGTTTTAGATATTTCGTTACTTTTGTTGATGACTATTCCAGAGTTACTTTGTTATATCTAATGAAAAATCGTTCTGAGTTGTTTTCTATATTTCGCGCATTTATATATGAAATCTTTACTCAGTTTGGTGTGCATGATGTTAAAGTGTTGCGTTCTGATAATGCTAAGGAGTACTTTTCTGTACCTTTTTCTGATTTTATGATACAGCATGGTATGATTCATGAATCTTCATGTTCTGATACACCACAGCAGAATGGTGTTGTTGAGAGGAAGAATAGACATTTGTTGGAAGTTACTAGATCTATGTTATTTGAGATGAAAGTCCCTAAAGTCTTTTGGTCTGATGCTGTCTTGACTGCATGCTATCTCATTAATCGCATGCCTTCCTCTGTTCTACGAGGTGGTATTCCATTTTCTACTTTGTTTCCAAAGCAGCCACTATTTGCCTTACCACCTCGTGTATTTGGTTGTGTCTGTTTTGTTCGTGATCATCGACCTGGAGTATCCAAACTTGATCCCAAGGCTATCAAGTGTATGTTTCTTGGTTACTCTCGTACTCAAAAGGGTTATCATTGTTATTCTCCCTTACTGAACAAATACTTCATAAGTGCTGATGTCTCATTCTTCGAATCCACTCCATATCATGATGTTCCAATTTCTGTGTCTGAGTTGGATGAAGAATTACATGTGACTACAATTCGGTCAACTACTCCAGCTGTTTCACCTGCGTCTACACAGGAACCACCTCCTCTACAGGTTTATACTCGGCGTCCTCGGGTTCATACTCCCCCCCTTCCTCCTATCACGACTGCGTCATCTTCCGTCCCAGATCCACCATTAGTCGATTCTCCTCATGTGTCAGATCTTGATCTTCCAATAGCTCATCGCAAAGGTACACGTGCCTGTACACAACATTCTATCGCAAATTTTATTTCATACTCTTCTGTGTCTCCTTCTTTTCGATCATTTTTATCTACTGTTGACCAATATCCTATTCCCAAGTCTGTATCTGAGGCATTACAAATTTCTGAGTGGAGGACAGCAATGGAAGAAGAGTTAAAAGCTCTACAGGTAAATCAAACTTGGGACTTGGTACCTCTTCCTTCAGGCAAAACTGCTATTGGTTGTAGATGGGTGTATGCTGTCAAAGTTAATCCCGATGGTTCTCTTGCTCGCTTAAAAGCGAGACTTGTTGCGAAAGGGTATGCTCAGACGTATGGGATTGACTATCTGGATACTTTCTCTCCTGTTGCCAAGCTTACTTCTGTTCGTATTTTGATATCTCTTGCTGCCACCTATCATTGGCCTTTATTTCAGCTTGATGTTAAGAATGTCTTTTTGCACGGTACTCTACATGAAGAAGTTTATATGGAGCAACCTCCAGGGTTTGTTGCTCAGGGGGAGTCTGGAGGAATGGTTTGCAAATTAAAAAGATCTTTGTATGGTTTGAAGCAGTCTCCTCGGGCATGGTTTGGAAGATTTTCTGAAGCTGTACTTTCTTTTGGACTGTCTAGATGTGACAATGATCACTCTTTCTTTTATAGACAGTCAAGGAAAGGCAAATTATTCTTGATTGTCTATGTGGATGATATTATTATCACGGGAGATGATTTAGTTGGTATAGATGAACTAAAGATCTATCTTCAGAAACAGTTTCAGACTAAGGACCTAGGAAAATTGAAGTATTTCTTAGGAATTGAGGTGGCACAGTCACAGAAGGGTATTGTTCTGTCACAACGAAAATATGTCTTGGATTTACTCATTGAGACAGGCATGTTAAGATCCAAGCCTCTTGATTCACCCATGGAACAAGGAGTTAAACTGGTTGCCGAAGGAGGAGAGCAATTCGATAGTCTTGAGAGATATAGAAGATTGGTAGGCAAACTAAATTATCTCACAGTTACTCGACCAGACATTGCCTTTCCAGTTAGTGTGGTCAGCCAATTTCTGTCTTCTCCTCGTACTTCTCACTGGGATGCAGTAATTCGAATTTTAAGGTATTTGAAGAAGACTCCAGGGAAAGGCATTATTTATCAAAATCATGGTCATAGTAGAGTTGAAGGATTTTCTGATGCTGATTGGGCAGGGTCTCCAGATGATAGGAGATCTACTACTGGCTACTGTACATTGGTTGGAGGAAATCTAGTGTCATGGAAGAGTAAGAAACAGAGTGTTGTTGCCCGCTCTAGTGCTGAAACAGAGTGTTGTTGCCCGCTCTAGTGCTGAATCAGAGTATAGAGCCATGGCACAAGCAACATGTGAATTAGTGTGGATTCAGCAGCTGTTGACTGAGTTAGGCTTGAAAGTTTCAATTCCTATGTCTCTATGGTGTGATGATAAGGCTGCAGTACATATAGCATCTAACCCGGTGTTTCATGAGAGAACAAAACACATTCAAGTTGATTGTCATTTTATTCGTGAGAAGCTGCAAAGTGGAATGATTCTTCCTAGTCATGTTATAACTGGTGAACAACTTGCAGACATTTTTACTAAATATTTGGGTAGCGGGAGGATATAATATATTTGTAACAAGCTGGGCATGATTAATATCTATGCTCCAGCTTGAGGGGGAGTGTTAGAAGTATCAAGGGCAAAGTGGTCTTTAGGACTCTTAGGGTTTATTGGGCTACCATTGTATAAATACGTTATTTTGCTGAATAATAAATCAACTTTTCCTCTCTAACAAGGTATATTTTGGCCGAGATACAAAACCAAATGAAGATTAAAAGTTAATTTTTCTCACTTCTGGTTGTTTGTTAAGTTCTCGTGTCAATATAACTTTTCTCGGGTCTACAGTTTCAGTAGGGGAGATTTCAGAGCATGAACACTCTGATGCTCTTGTCTACCCTTGCATCAGTAACCTGAAAGTTAGTTCTGACGTCGAGTTGGGTTTAATTCTCTAAACTCCGATGCTCACTACTATTGCACGTGCTAATAGCCTTTCCATAGGTGTGTGTTCTGTTATGTACGTGTTTATTTAAATTTCCTATTTTCGGTGCTCATCATTATCGTGCGTGTGCATACTACGATGAACGTGACAATTGAATTTCATTGTGCTTTGTACTAGGTAAAATCTGCCTAACGGACGTGGTCACTCCCCACTGCTGCTCATCAACTGCCCATCCCAAAGCACCATGTTTAGTTTCCAAATTTCCAGGATTACTAAAGCTCTCCCTCTCCATGACAGAGTGTTGTTGATATGATAAAGACTCATTTTAGGCAGAAAGGCGCAGTCCTTGACAACCAACGAATTCCTAACAATTCAGTTCCATCTCATGACGAACATTAGTTTCCATATGTAAAGCTTTTGCGGTGAGTGCATGGTTAATTTTCTCTTTTGTCCATGGTACTAGCCTTTGTCTGTTACCGGGAAGTGTTTCTTCACGACTCTTTAAGCTCGATGTGTATTGGTGCAGAGTACGGCAATGATCAGCTACAAAATGCCAGCCAGCTGATGATTTAAAAACCGTGAAGGACTACGGGGATATGCTCACAGAATCTGTGTTCTTCATGCCCTAAACCAAAGTTTCTTCAAACAATCTCGGAGGAGAGATCCGCCCTATTTCTCATGTTCAGCTGATTCAGATGTCTTAGTTCGTCCACCAAAGGCATACATGACAGCAGCATTGTGCAAAGAAGGAGGAACCCTGGAGGCTCCAGAGTCAATTCTCACGGAGGTAAATTCATCTTGTTTTGATACAGTTCTTTGTTGTATATCCTTCTTCAACCACACTCATGCTAAAATAGATTTGGGCTTGAGGTAATAGGCGAGTACCTTTCAGCTCTTGAAAAGATGTGTGTCTGGCACCTTTAAGAATTTCTTTTCTACCAGAACCTTGATGAAAACGGGCTTTGATTGGAGAAAGGAGTTATGATAACTCCACCGGCATATAGCATGACATCACATGTGCGAACAAGCGCATACTTGACAGGCATCTTCACGCCTTCTTATTTCCAATTTGTTTTCAGTGTTCAGCAATAGGTTTGTCTATCGCTTGCTATGCTCAACTCGTCCAAATTATGGCGGCATTGAGGTCAAGGGGTCCTCGCCCTCGCCGTCGGTCCGGTCGCCATGTCTCCGGTGTTCTTCCTGACTCGGATCCATCTCCAATTGAGATCGCTGGAATCTGTGATTCCTACCTCGGTTGGATATGCGAATGTAGTCAGTGTCGAAGCGTGGTCATGTGGTGAGTTTCGTTGTTGTTTCAGGCAGAAAACAGGAATTCTTCCGCTGCCAAGCGTACTAGGACCGACGGTAAACCATGTCATCGTTCTCTCTCTGGTGTGACGATTTTTTTTTCCCTCTCGTTTTTGGTATTGGATAGTTTGAGCCAGTTCAGGACGAAGAAGAAAGACAATTGATCCAGAAAGAGGAAGTTTCTTCTATGAATTCGATGGAGTAACCTATGTTGTTTGCATGACTAGAATTCTGATTTTCACCTACTAAACATGCTTTCAAGAAAACTGGAAGTGGGGACAATAGTCGACAATGACGACATTATCGAAATCAAAACAAGACCAAGAAGGAGGAAGTAGGAAACCCTCTTTCCTGGTTTGTTTAAGCCAGTCTAAAGTGGAATTCTGATGTATTTAGAAATTCAAAACATGCTTTCTCTGTGTTAATACCGTGGGTTTCAGCTTAACTCATGGTTAGCAGTAATTCTTATCGTTATTCCTCAGAGAATAGATAGGACATGCTCCCGCTTCCTTCCCTGTTCCTTTTAGATCTCCGTTTTGATATGTTGATTAGGTTAAAATTGCAGGTAGACGGAGGGAAGATGACTGGACTTGCCCTAGCCGCGAACTTTTCATTCCGGACAACTTGCAACATGCGTGATTGCGCTCAACCAAGGCCAGCCGATCATAACTCGGTAATATGTGACTGTTTGTGACGTAAATTCTCTTTATAGCTACATGCTCAGCTGATAGTTGTGGCCACACTCGCAAACACAACACCAAGTATTATTGTGCTTGTTCCTTTCTTCCTCCTCCAAGATTTTCTACTCGACACTTGATATTCCATTGTTGTGATTCAATGCTAAATAGGTTGTTCGTGTTGCGTTTGTCGAATGCATTTTGTCCGAAGATACCTCCCTGCTAATTTTTGCTTGTTTAATTGATGGAATTAGTTATGCAAATTCAAATACTAGCTTTGTGCATTATTAAATAGGAGATGGGGCTAGCGTGTCGTCTGTCTCTATGTCCCGATTAATTGTTCCCGTCTTTGTTGGAGAAAAGTATCAAGATCCCCAAGACAATAACCTTTTCTGCTCATGTTTAATAAGCTCGCGTTTCCTTGGCTGGATCCACATCATTATCCAAGTGACTTGCTTGGTCAATGGTTGCTGTTGCTCTTAGATATGCAGTCCGGGTTTTACTATATTTCATTCTAACACTGTTGATCTCCTTGTGAGTGTTTGGGGCAAAAATGTCCTGAAATTATGTTTCGGCCGCCTTTTTCTAATCAAAAGGCAGCTCAAAGAGCCCGTGGGTATCTGGATTATGTGGTATCAAGGTGGTATGGGATAGCATTGCAGGCATAAGAATTCTTTGCTCGGAATTTTAGTTGCTAATCGAAAGATATGATAACATGGAGGCTTGCATGCTTAGTAGACCACATTCCAAGGTGAAAAGCACAGATTAGTGGAGTCACACGAGTGAAAGTGAAAAGCACAGATTAGTGGAATTTTAGTTGTATATCTTTTGCTGAAAGATTTTCCACTTGTTGAGCTAAATCACAGATTAGTGGAGTCACACGAGTGAAAATGAAAAGCAGTAATTGACACTGCTTGTGTATTGTCTTTAGGATGTCTCCACAAGATCCTGTATAATTGCTGATTGTTAAGCTTGTAAGTAATGGCTGCCCTTTGTTCCTTCTCAGGTGTAATGTATGGGATGCCTCCTATGATGGACAAATATGGCTGGGGCTTCCAGTGGGCCCTGGTGGCATGGTATATGTGAAATTTCTTTCTGTCTTCGGATGTTGCTGCGTTTTCCTTTTCACTGCACAAATACGTTATTCAGTGTTGCTCTTTCAGATATTAGGCATGTCATTGTTCTGGTATCTATTCTCCCAGGGACCACAGCCGGGAACTGTCCCTGGTGATAAACTTCAAAAGAAGGGGGCAGGTTTGTATTCCATGGCTGGTTACTGCTTTTAGAATCGACAATAAGAATACTGGTTCATCTCCAACCGACATTTGATTTCCTTGAAATACGTTGTAGAGGCAACACGTGATAATGATTGGACGTGCCCGAACTGTGGAAATGTTAACTTCTCTTTTAGAACAGTGTGCAACACGAGGAAGTGCAATGCTCCGAATCCTGGATCGCGGGTTTGTGTTGCTTTGGCACACAATTTAGCAGCTTGAGGAGATCGAACTTTGTGGCTTTCTTTTATGTGCTTGTTGTATTCCTGGGTTATAATTTTGCTCTCGCCAATTTGTTTGAGCTGAAGATTGCTTATCGGTTTAAATTAACGGATTTTTATGCTCTTCAACTGCAGGCTTCAAAATCTGATAAAATCTATAGTAAGTTATTGCTACTGGCCACGTTGCTTGCCTCGTATTTGTCTATATTGGTACTCATATGTAAAGTTGCTTACAAAACAAAAAAATGCCTGAGGGTAGTTGGAAGTGTGTGCAATGCGGTAACATAAATTATCCATTCCGGACAAAGTGTAACAAACAGAATTGCGTCGCCGACAAACCATCTGAGCCTGAGAAATCTACCCCTCCGGCTGAGGATGAAAATGATCAGGTCGGTTGTGTAATGTGCTACCTGTACTTCCGCTACCTGTATTTATGGTTGTTTCTCTCAACCATCTGGACAATTATCAATAAACTCGGTGGAAAAATAATACACAGCCATGTTGAGCCAGCAAATGTTCATGAAGTTTTTATCTTGGATTTGTTTTATAGTACGACTTCTTTCGTGCATTCATAGATAGGCAATTGCCCACTGTTCCAGTGAGTACTAGGGCAATATTTGAGGGTTGAGAAGGTCCAGAGTTGTCGTCCAGCTTTGCAACAATGTGGTTGTCTGAAAGTCAGTCTTGTCGTCCTCATGTTGCAGCGGTTGTCAAACCACTCTACCCTCTCATAATTCGTGTCGAGGCGGTTGTGTCAGATGATGGTTTATATGGTCTTCATGGATCCTTCAAATGCATTATCTGTCGGCCAGCTTGACTGGCAAGGATTATTCAGTTTGGATTCTGTTTAATACTTTAGGCTCCTGAACTGCGAGTCATCTTCTCCAGCCAGTAAGTGTTATGCGCGTCGACAAAGTTAAAAAAATGCACGGATACCTCTCGGGCTAATGTTTCTGGCTCCATGTGTTTAAGTTGTCACCGGGTAGTGGCTGATCCGAGGAAAGAGAGAAGGAGATTCTCGGCAACGGTGAAGTAGAATTGTTCCAAATGCTTTTGCCTCTATAGGCAGAGGTTCTCAAATCCTGGTTTTGTCTGTTGACTGTAAGTTGACAGAGTCCTAATCTTTTAGGTGTCGTGAGTTGGTGTCAGGTATTCTATTGAGTCCTGTTTCATGCCGAATGGGTCAGGCTCACTTTATATGGACATAGAGCATTGTTAGGGATACGAAGTATTTGCTATAATATTCTTTACTAAATGATGTGCCGACACATATGACATGCTTTAGTTATGAATTGCCATATATTTGAAGAGTGGGGTCCGGTGAACTTATTTCATCCAACGATAATCAGTTGTCATATCATTTAGCAAACAAATTTCAGTGCACTTGCTTAGCACACATCGCATTTATCATCGGCATATGCTCTCATATGAGGACTTCCCTGTGCCATCGTTATGTATGTCCCTCTTACTTTAACTTTGGTGGAAGTTGCACGGTGGTATTGCTTATGTAGTCATATTGTTAAATATTAAACTTCGTCACTGTTCGATCCAAAAAAAAACTTCGTCACTGCCTGTTGACACCTATTTTTAATTTACCCAAAAGATATGACCCCCTTTTTATGTTAAAAAAATTGGAGGTCGGTCGCGACAGTGCCAATGTCATGAAACAGCGAGTCAATTTTACTAAGTAATATGTTGCCACGAGTATTAGAAGGCCCTGCCTCTGAGTTCATAGCTGCTGCAAAAAATTAATGTCTGCATTCCAGGTCTTCCCCTTGCATGGTGAATTTTCCCTTTGTGGGCAGCCGGGGCGTGTAGCATTAGGAAAGGGGGTGTTAAGCTGCTTCAAGCATTAAGAACAAAGGTTTAGTTTTGGTAATGCACCCTTCTTTGTAGAAAAACGCTAGAATGTCCCATGCTACACTCGATTTTGTAAACGATTGTTTGGTTTAACATTTTTACCACAGTTTCGGCCGTCAAACAGGTTATTGCAGTTTTTATAAGGCATTCGACAAACACTTTATTGTTGCAGCGGTTCCAAAGCCGTAGCGGCTTAGAGCAACCTTGAGGAGCTGAGATGGCGTGCACAAGTTCTAAGGTATGAGAAAGCAACGGAATTGGAAACTTTTGAGTGAATAAACAGTCGTCTGCCAAAAGAAAAGCTCATGGAAGAGCCTCCCAAAGCGCCCGTATCCGCAAGTCCGTCTTGAGCCCCTCAACTAAGAATTTGCAAGGCGCGAAATTTCATATTTCACGTTGGATTTCTAAGATATCTAGTCCACAACAATAACTTAGGGCGAACGATTTTCAACATGATCGGTTTACGCGGGATGTAGTTAACCGGGTTCGTGTCCTAAGTGGGTAAGTCTGTTTTCACACAAACAATGAACTTGTTGTGTAGGGTTCCAACATTTATGGGATAAGTGCATTGAAAGTCTCATAACTTGTCACAAAAGTGCAATCGAGTCCTAAAAGTTGTCACGAAAGTACAATTCAGTCTTAAAATTTTCAAAATATGCAATCAATGGAAGGAAAGACTTAATTGGACCAATTTAACCAGTTTTAGTATTTAATTGCAATTTTTGAAAGTTTTATTACTCAATTGCACTTTTGTGACAAGTTCTAGGACTTAATTGCACATTGTAAAAGTTTTTTGACTCAATTGCACTTTCATGATAAATTTTAGGACTTTCAATGTACTCATCCCAACATTTATAGTGCATTTAGACACGTCTAATTAGATGGGGTTATAAATGTTATTCGAATTGACGTGGCATGTCCACTAGACACATTTAAACACGTGTATGGACACCTAAACCCACGTTAAACGTTCATATGAGGCATCACATCTTGCGCACATCAATCATGCCACGTCATATGTGTAGCTCGTTCAATGAACACCGCGTCAAGGTTTCAACGTGATGACACGAATAACAAATGGGCAATTAGACCTAAATTTGACATGACACTTTTATTACGCGGAATAATGGACGAGCCTAGATGCTCTATTACCATTAAGTTTTGCTTTTTTTTTTGTCGAAAGAAAATTGTAGCCATTGCTTAAAAAGGATACATGGGAAGTACAACGACTTTCATGACAAAGAAAATCAAAGCAAAGCAAATCCCATAATACAACAAAACAAATCCAAATCCAAATCCAAAAAACAAAGAGAATCAAAAGAGCATCGGCAAGGTTAAGCACATACTCTTTCCATAAAAACGGATCTGTCAAGCAAAATAATCGGTGGCCGATCACTGGATCTTAAATCATCTTTAATGATGAGCACATGCCGGAAAGTCCTTCTCCAATAACTACGGTGTTGCCTGTTGGCGGTGCACGCCTAAATTCGGCTTCGTTTGCACCATCGCCAGACAGAGACAACTAAAATGGGTTGAAAAACCACAGATCTAACTCTTGGAAGAGCAAATCTTTGTGGTTCAGCAAGACGCCAAAACTCCTATGATCATCAATGAAATTGGAGATGGAGAACCTGTACAAAAACAGAGCACGGGGATATTGAATCCCCAAAGACATTATTAAATTCCCAAATCTAAACCGGGAGAGAAAAGCTCATAGATCTAGAACTAAATAAGGAGTGTTGACACTCTTGATTATAGAATTATATCGGGAAAAGAGAGCTCTCAGATTTAGATCGGGAGATAAGGATAAAAAAAAGAAAAACACTCGAATAAAATCAACGGGAGGGGAGGGTGAGACTAGCTCAAACCCTCCCCCATGGCTGAAGCTCAAAGAAGACGATGGAGAGACAATAGAGAGAAAAACTTTTGGGCTTCTGTGAAACTAGTTTTTTGGGCACCATTAAGTTTTGTTGAAAATGTGTTTTGTTTAACACATGCTAAACAATCGGGAGCACAATTTAAAATTTACCTATAAAATTTGTTTGCCAAGTCATGCGACAGATAGCAAATGAGTATTTAATCATATTCCTATTACACCAAATAAAAGTTGAGCGTATCACTTAATATACTAATTACATGATCCAACACTAAATATCAAGCGTAGGTTACGATTTCTAATGCGTTTAATCTTTCTCAATATCCTCATGATTCCATTTCAAATTCTAGGATTAAGTTATCTCGATTATGTAAAGAGACGATTAGGAGAAAAAAGTAGTGCTTGAGTTTCGGATGGAACGGTTAATTAATAAAGGTTTTTTTTTTTCAAGCTTGCAATTGTTTTATCAAGTCATAGCTATATCAATCATATGAACAAATCTCTCTTTGCTTAGTTCTTCAAAAGTAACAAAATCTCTTCAATATCCGGGCCAAATTGCAAAATTGGCTCCTCACTTGCAATCAATTTTTCTACTACTTTACTGTACAAGAGCGAACCGATTACTTCGGTAAGTAATGGGATCCCATTCTCAAAGTCGATTATATCTTTTGCAGTTTCATCAAAACCAATAATTGGAAGATTTCTTCGCAGTGCCTGCTTTTTGAAAAAGCTCAAGGGCTTGATCTTCTCATCATGTTGATGCCATAAACATGACGAAGTCTCGAGATGTGGACTAAGAATAGATTTGATACTGGTGTTGCAATTATCCTAGTTCCATAACCAAACCAATCAAGCTTTTCTCCTGCAACTTTGTGGAGATGCGACCGTACCTCGTATTCGGTGATATCTCTTTAAGAAAAAAAGTGGAATCCTTTCACCTCGTATTTGGTGATATCTCTTTAAGAAAAAAAGTGGAATCCTTTCGCAACACGATCACCCTCGTGTTCTCGCTTTAGGATATCGCACATCAACTTGCTTTGCAAAAACCAAACACCTCCATGTTGTTTCGTAGCTACTCCGATATCTGCAAGGAAACTACAACAGTCGAATCGAGATGAAATTTGCTCGTAAAAGTGGCAAGAGTCCCCATCCCCAATCTTCACTATGCACGGATCAGCTCAGCTCGTCCTTTCCAATGCGGGCGGCACAAACTTAATAGCCTTTTCGCCAAGACACGGACCCGTCATGTTTATGTTCTGGAAATCGCGCTCTTAATATAAGGGAGAATGAAAAAACATCATCATCTTGGCGTTCGCGGTCCTCTTTCCTTAGATTGAACTCCACGCATATAAAAATGGAATCCAGCCATTATGAAAAGAAGAACACGCCATGACCAATACGGATCCAAGGCTCCGACTTGGGCACACTCTTTTTAGAATAATTGGTCTAATTTTTTTTTCTTTTTTTTTATAAATACTAATGCAACAGCAAGGTGAATGAGAGGTCACCCTGATGGCTGCATAAGCCATACAATCCATATCTGTAGATAGAGTCTCCGGGATTCAAATCTTCAGGCCTCACCACCTTGGACATCAACTGCATCCATATTGTCATTACCTTCTCAATGATCTCCCTCACCATTTTGGCCCTTACTTCACGCACTTGGGCCGGTGCTTCAGGATAAAGCAACTGGGATTGTTACTGCGAGTCCCATATCCCTTAGATGTGAATATTGCGGGCCGCCTGGCCCAGCCCCGACCGCCAAGTCGAGGTCGCGAGGCTGGCCGGCAGGCGGCAAATTCAAGTGAATAAAATCCAGCTCTCCAGGCTTTAAAAACAGCAAAGCAGAGTCCGGATAAATGTAAGGGACGTGCTGCCCACCTTGATGGTGGGGGCTAAAATCAGTTGATGATGATACCATGAACGCTCACACCACAAGATCAACAACAACAATGTAATGGTCTAAGTAAAACAGCGAGCCTATCATATTTAAGAGATGAAACGGTGAACAGGAAAGAGCAATCTAACAAAGGCAGACTCAATCCGAACATAAACATCCACTTAGACATAAGCATCCACTTGAGACATTGACGGTTCTAATCTTATTTACCAGACAGTACTGCAGTAGATCTAGAACATTGAAAAGAAAAACATCAGAGACTGAAACTCAACTCCCCCGGCCGCCTCCGTAAAGCCGCCGCCGCCGCCTCCTTCCTTCTTTCGTCTTGGACATCCTTCGCGTTCAAGTCAAGGCGGGAGGAGGATTGTTGAAATCATGGGTCAACCAAGCCTGTTGCGCTATGTAATAGCTTCCTTCTGGTTCTTGCAACAAACGGAACGACTGAGGGCAGAATCAGATACACGACTCTCAGTATGCAATACGATCGAATAAACGATTGATAGAGAAATTTGCAAAGAATTCACAAGAAATATAAACTTATTAAAAAGGGTAAAATTTCTTTAGGCATCAATTAGCGCTTTTTTCCGAAACTTTCATCGGAGCAACAACAATTCGGTTCACCATAAATCTTATAAACAGATGCTCCGCTAACAACAATGGACGAAGGGATCACCACCCAAGTAGGAGATATTCACTCAACAAAAACGCCATCTCATCCAAACCACCATCCTTCGACACTCAAAAAAGAAAAAAATTAAATAAAATATATCAATGGATGCTTCAACCGATACACAGAGAGAGAGAGAGAGAGAGAGAGGCCTGGTAGAAAAGGTAGGCGTCCGGCTTGCCGTCTAGCCACAAGTAGCCGTAGGCCAAGGCCAACACGCCGCCGCTTAGTTCGCAGGGCAAGCAGGCGATGCCGCTGATCTGCTGCTGGCACTGCTGAAGGGAGGCGAGCTTGGCGACGATAGCCTCCTTGCCCAGGATCATCTGGCCGCTGAAGTTCATCCCCGACTCTTCCCGGTACAGGTTCACCAAGTCCTCCCGGTTCGCGTCGAACGTCTTTAAGTAGTTCTCCACGAACCGCTTGGGCTCCGCCATCATCAGATCCATCTTTTCTCGGTTCCTCGCAAATTTCGCCTTCAGCAGATCCATCTTTTCTCGGTTGCTCGTCGTCATCTCTCCTTCTGGTTCTGTGTGCTTCACACCCACGCGATGCAGACGGCGGTAACCCAAGACGACAAGAGAGAAAAAGCGAGCCCTAGGGATTTCGAGAGTTCTCATTTTATTTGGAATCGTCGGGTCCACCCGACCCGACCGACCCGAAACCGGTCCTTTGGGTAGAAAGACTAAAAGGGCCCCCCTTTTCTCTTTTTTTCCAGTTCAGCCACTGTTCTTCTGCTCTGTTCGGACGCAGCAGTAGAGAGACATCCGGTAAGTTCTGCCTGCGGCTTCCTCTAGATTGACAATATTTCTTAAGAGGAGGCATGATTCTCGGTATTTGTTGGTGCTGCATTGCATTCTGTTGGCTTCGATTTGTCCTCCGTTCTATTTCCTTACCTTTGTCTATTTGCTAGCTTATGATATCGAAGTTTCGTTGCGTCCACTTAACTTTCTACGGCTCTACTGATCTGAACAGACGGCACGTAATTCTTGCTGATGAGATGGGTCTTGGGTTAGTCTTTTCTCACGAGGAAAATTTGTGGGCTGAAATTGCTTCTTTTGTTTTCCGTGTAAGCTGTCCTTTATGTTTTCTGCGGCAAAAAGTATTGCCTTTTTTTTTTAGCATCTCCGTTTGAAGAAAATCCATACCCATTCTTAGTTGTAGGTCCACTTTCTACCTTGCGGTGACTACGAATTTCGCTTTCCCAAAAGCAAGCAAGAAGCTCAAGAAAATAAATATGGCCAGCTGGTTATTGAAACCAAACAAGATAGCACAAAGCTCGATATCCCCTTAATATCATATGAGATGATTAATCTGGACCCGGCATCATTGAAGCCGGTACAGTGGGGATGCACGGTAAGATTTCGTTGGTTATTAAACTCATAAATAGTATCCAACATGCTGAAGGGCTTGACACGATGGGTTCTTTCATATTGTTGATGAAGGAACTAACTAGTTTGTCTCCCGTGCGAAGGAGCAAAATATCAAATTTCAACTTCTCGGTGAAAAATCTGATTTTTAAGTGGGGTGAGGATAATCTTTTTTTGTTCATATTCGCGATACACGTCATCATGTATGATGAGGCATTTTGCTGAAATTATGAGACTCTCTGTTTACTGCATTCTCATGATTTTCTTTTTACCTAATATATCGATAGTTCTGCACTACGGGTCATGTTTACTGGTTTTTCATGCGAGGGTCTATTTGAAGTGCCGGAAGAACGAATGCTTCTCATGCTCTATGGGATCAACAATTGCCGGAGAAATTGGTGCATATGGCTATAGACCCTTCCGTACTCATGGATATGCTTGCTGATGAGAGAGCTGAAGTTGCTAGAAGCTTATATGAGGTCTTTTTCTGGGGATTGCTCTCCTTCGGGCCTGGAAACTGCTCTGCGGTCTGACTCACTAGACTGGCCTAATAGTAATTCTGTTGACAGGACTGAAGAATATATGCACGTCATAGTTACGTATGATAGTCATATATCCACGTTTCTGAAAGATCAACGGTTGGTCTTAATTTGTCCATCCTAATTTTTTGTTGAATTTTTTAACAGCATAGACTTGGTTAGACTACAAGAAGAGGTATATCCTTCCAACCTCAATCCATCTCTCTAGTCTGCTCATCTCATTTACGCAGCACTGTTAAACCTTTTTCCTCGGGCTTTCCTTGACATTGGTGACCACTTCTTTAATAAGGCTGAGTTCAGTGTTAGGCCTTGCAAGATTGATCTTCATTCATTAACCTTAGTACAAAGATCTTTACGAACTTGTCCAGTACAGGGAAACTGAGAAGAGAATGCTTAGCCGAATCGATGCGTCTAACCAAAAAATCGTACTTCCTTCCAATTTTGCAATCTTCCCGTTCTTTACTCGTGGTCCTTTCTTCTCCTAATTCCTTCCAAACCAATTCCTTCCTTCTAGCTCCCAAGTAAAATCCCGAATTGGATTCCACATTGACCGGTTTAGTGCGAGCTTGTCCATCGTCTTTTAAACCCTGCATATTTAGATTTGTCTCAAGGCCACGAAAAGGAATAAAAAGAACAATTCTAGGAATTAAAGAAAAAGATGGAGAGGACCTAGAGTTGTCAAAAAAAGTTATGAAGCAATATACTAGTAGAATGAACATTACATTGGAGGGAATCCTTGAACACTAGCCAAAAAAGTGAGTCTCGGTCCAGTATTGAGGCAATTGGGCCCATGCATTTTCTTAGTATGAGTATGCATTACAAATCATTCATTTTTCTGAAGATAAACGGAGCCAAATTGGCTCAAGATTAAGTGATAAATCTAGTTTTCTTTTTCTCATCCGATCACGTGTATAGCTCTACACCAAGTGATTCCAATTAATTAAAAGTTTACGGAAAATGACACACACATGCATACATATTTTATATGCATAATATATAGTTTGTTTCCTCCCAAGTTATGTACATTAAAGGACAGAGCTATGATGACCGAATAAAGTTCAGTCTCCTCGGCCCTTAGTCCACCACACAAGATGGGCAAAAAGTAGAAGAGGAACGTGTGCCCCCATCCCCCATCCCATTGGCAAACCCCAGAATTTTATAGAAATCATCATAACACCAATTATTGTCTTCAACACCTTCATTCCATTGGAGATTTTTTTTTAGCCCTCGAATTTTCTTAAAATTTTATTTCCTCGAAGTAATAAAATCCCTATTTTTTTTTCTCTTCGAAAAGAGACTTTCGTCATATTAACTCGTTCCGATAGGGTGACGACTAGTTGCGTAAAGCGCACTAATAGCTTAGGGCATTGGGCTGAGAAAAATATGCATTTTCTTGAATGGAACAAATTATGAAGAGGGTTATTAGCTGATTGTCTATTATGAAAGTTGAAAATATTAAATTTTCTCGTGCGGTGTAAATTTTACTGTATTTTAAGGATTCAAACTCCAAAATGATGAATTTATGCATCAACCACTCATAAGTCATAATGCAAGAACGAGGAGAGACCTTAGAACTACTAGATTAATCGAAATTGCAAAACCCCACTAAAGTAATTTCTTACGACAAGAGAACATGACACAATACCATTTCTCTAAACCTAAGTTCACTTCTGATACCTCATAGGCAAGCAAGAGATATCCAAGAAAGTTAAAATTAATTTTGCATAAACTCACATTCTTATTCTGTGCAGATATTATCAAATTATAGGAACATAAAGCTATTAGCCAAGAAGCACGAGCAAGAGGGAATCACACTCAATTTTTTGTATTAATTCACTATGAAAGCACTTTTCAATGTTTGATTCTTTTCTTAGTATAAGTTTTTCTGTGAGTAGAGATAAGAAAAATTCTTCCTAGGGTGATAAGAAGTTGCGACGAGATCAGTCAACAATCTCATCAAGGGATAGAGTTAAGAAAACAATACCTGAAATGTTTTACCGAGGCCCATGGTGTGAGCTAGGATGCAACCGAGGCCTTTATCCCCAGACCTTACTCTTCTAATTGACTGCGCAATATTTTCCCACATAAACCTAATCCCTGCAACCTGCAGCACGGGGAGAAAAGATAAACAAGAAGGATTGAACTGCTAGTGAATCAACAAAAACAAACATGGAAGACCAGAATAACAACTACGATCCAAATTCCCAAAGTGATGATGGAAAACTTAAAATAACTGAGCTGAAGTAATTCCAACAGACTTCCCAAAACAAGATCCAGCGATATCTCTGTCCAACAATTCCAAACATCCAAAAATTCTTTTTTCCTCAGTTTGTCATGTTAAGCCATTCATCCATGTAAAGTAACAGAGCTTGTAATAATTGGCATCAAAAGATATGGACATATTAAAGTTCACAGACACCAAGGCAGGTTGGAGGAGAAAATGCCCAGTCTAAGCGATTTATGTCACACATCTTAGTGGCTAACAAGTGGCTAACAAAATACCCATCGATAAGTTTATATTCATAGAAAGTGCAATCAAAATGCATTGAAAGTGTCCCCACTTATGTAGAGAGGCAATTATTGTCAAAAGAAGAACAAAGACCTGATGAGCTTTTAACTTTGATGAAATACTTGGTGGAATCCTCACAGCTTCTTCACTCTTTTCTCTCACCACATTCACTTTGAAACCCGTGGAGGTGTCACCAAGTATGTCGATAGCAGCACCCTCTGACAAGCTAAATGAACGACTTGGAGAATTCGGAATATTGGATTTGGCAGAAAATTGAACTTGCAAAGACCTCAAACGTTCTTGACGTTCCTGCAAGCATAATATCACATCACAAGCAATGCCCTGGTTACAACTCAATTTCAGAAGAACAAATCCACCAAACAAGAGACACCTTCTCTATTGCGATTTTCCTCTTGGTTTCTTCACCAAGTTCAGCATCATCAAGTATTCTACGAATTTTCTTTTTACGCTTTCTCTTTGACCTAAACAAAGAAGAACAAGTTTGAGGAGCAATGCCTTCTTAAACCAAACTCACATTTCATTGCTCGCACATAGAATCAAGTGCGAGACAAAGCACCCACCTCTCCTGCTTTTACTTTCCTTATCATCATAGGAAAATATGCTAACAGTTATCAATCACCTTCAGCTTGACTTCATCTGGTCATTATGGCATATTTGAACTATCACAACACACTAGTCCCATATGATACTCATGTATCAAGCACACATAGAAAATACGCTTAGGATGCTCCAATTGAAAATCCTAATTATTAGGGCAAAGCACTTCAACGTGGAAGACATTTCTCTCGATCCTCTCTCCATATGTTTGCACTCGGCCATTTGTTAATGTTATAAAACGGCACTCTCTTATCATAAAAGACGACATAGACAGACAATGACAGACAAGATAAGCATCTATAATTCTAACTCCTGATCTTGCTGAACTACAACAGTAGCAACAATAGAGAAATGGGAAAAACCAGAGAAATGCACTACACTTAGTGAACAGGAAAATAAAGAAGAAAAATATATAGACTGCATTTGGAAGCAAAGAAGGAAAGAATTAATTTGTAACGGAGTCATTATTCCATAATATATGCTTGATGGAAAGTGTATAGAAGCTATCTAGAAGAAACAAAACGACATAAGACTTCAAGAAGCAAAAGAAAAGCTGGAAACATTTAATTTCCTGTATGAAAGTCTCTAAAGTGAAAATACCAATCACCTGATTGGAATATTAATGTCTGCATCTGAAGTATCAGAATCAGTATCGGAGCTAGAAACCACTGAAACCCCAGATTTCATGGCTTCATCCAATGCTAATTTTAGCTTGTGCAAGACACTTGGAGAGCAACTGAAGCAGTTCCAGCCAGAGGCCTGGACCTTGGACAGGTATACTTCACCAAAGTTCCTTTGAATGCAAATGGCGCAAAATAATGTTTTGCAAGCTCTACAGCTTAATAAGTCACCGCTTCCTCCACACCATCCACAATAACACTCGGAGCAATCAGCGTCCTACAAAGTTTTGTTTAAATTATCATATAGCAAGATTAATCGATTGATAACAGAATCTGCCATGACAATTATTACAATATGCGAAAAGTTCACCTGAGAACTGGTGCAAACACACAAAGCAATCGATTCAGACCAAATGGTGCTTAAATTTATACTTGACATGAAGGATGATATAATCACGGACCGTATTAATATTTCTTTTCGAAATTTACCAAATGATACAAGAGAATTAAATAAGGTTATCGACTGAGCTCCCCTTTCCAAGGATAATTAGCCGTTAAGCATCAAGCTTCGTGACAATAACATTTGCATAAGGAAGAGAATAGTACTTATGAGGGAAGCATCAAAGTGAAGAAAATACAAACACTCAAAGGTTTGCACCCATCAAAATAAAATATCTGGAATCGACTATGTCCATACCTTCACATGCATCTTTTCTTCCACCATATATTTACAACTATTGCAAATGATCACTTTCAGCAGAGGGTGCGCATGCACCTCACCAGCCACTTTACCACAAGCTGTGCAATGTAATTTCCTATTAAACGAATAAGGAGCGTCCCCTGAATCCTTTGAAACAGATTGCTCATTATTAGCGACGCAATGGAGTGAATCATCTACCAACTGGGCTTCATCATCACTGTCTATAATGACTGTCCGACTCCTCTTATTACTAAAGCTTATCTCCTCATTGGAATTAGGGAAAGCAGTTTCTGCAAGCAATGAAGTCGAGCCATTAGCTATTTGCCTTCCCTTGTCTGGATTATCAGTGCCATGACCTTCAAGCATATCATTCTTCAAATTTTGAACAGTAACGCCATCATCAGCAACAATTTCACCGTTTTCACATGCTATCTTGTTCAACACATTTTGCACATCTGAGCTTGCATCTTGATCAGTCATATATTCTTTCTGAACAGTCTTCCATGCCAAAATGGACAAAAGAAGAAGAAATATCATCAAGATTTACCCTAACACAACAATCAACTCGTATATCAACTGATTAGCATATCTAGGCTTTCGTATTTAATTTCGATTTTCCTCTTTTTTTCTTTTCCACGTTATCCCCTTCTTGTTTTGAAGGCAGAAGAAGAGGAAGAAGATTGACTAATTTCAAGCTCACACAAAAGCCTAAAGAGCCTGCATACAACAGGTCATCCACACCTAAAACAATATTCGGTAGCTAACTAAGCTACGCTCCATATTTCTTTACTGCAATGGTGTATGATTTCCACAATAATTACCAGCAATTAAAAGTAAATTAGTCAACTTATCTTAGAATGATCTTTGTTGTTCATCCAACAAGAAAGATAAATGGATCATATAGAGATCAAAGATAACAAGAACATTGGAACATGAAAGGAAAGTATGCTGGGAAATTTGTACCTTCCTGCATCTCTTCTTTTGTCTCTTCTGCTTCAAGTGATGTTGATGCTTTCTGTCAAGATTTGCATCCTCCTCCTCTTTCACCTGTCAAGGTGTGAATGTAAGAAACGAGCTCAACAAAGTGAGAACACACGTTTGCCCTGGGACAAAACATTGATGTTAAAAAGTACTCCTATTTGAACCATTTGAAAAACTTTAATAAGTCCAACTTCTGGACAAAAATGCTAACTTCTTGCTAGTTACTACACCTAAATGAATTTCGCGTGATAGTGCACTGACGTAGAATCATCTTGAGAAAAATGTGGTCAGACAACATGTAATATTACTTGACTTATACCAGAAACATGCTGCAGCAACTCTGAATGTCAAGGCAAATCATAAATGATTGTTAAAATGCTTCAAGAAGTTTAAGCTACACTTTAAATGGTTAATACAAGACAAAAATACATTTCCTCCTGGTAGAAAATGAAGATTACAAGTTTGAGAAATGGAAGACAGAATAATAAAAAGAGACCTTTCTGAAGTTCTGCTTTTGTTCTTCAGAAAGAACTAGTTCTCTATCATTTGCTATTGCATATGCAAAAAATGGATCACTGGAACAGACATCAATGTCGTCAATCTCCTCAACCTAAAGCAAATAATGCATTCTTTGATCTAGCACCATCCAGCAGCGACAACTTCCCTTAGGAGTCGCCGGAAATAAGAACACGCCCAGCAGGGAACACGACCACCAAGTCACCTTCGCCTGAAATTCACTGTCAAATAGAACCGACACGCCGAGCTCTAAAAACACCCAGATGCCCAGCATATGCAGCGGGAAAATCTGAACTTGCACGCGCGCACACATCGTGCTCGAAGACAATGCAATACCCACAAATTTCCACAATCCCGTTTCGCATCACTCACCCTTTATTCTCACGACTCCGCCGACGCGGAACCGCGCGCTTTTTCAATGGCGGGCACGGGGAACGACGACCGTGAAGCTGTCAGCTAGCAAGCACCCCGACATGAAGCTCCGCCAGTAGCAGCAGAGAGAGAAACGCGAACGCGAGCCTTCGACGCACTGCCACCGGAGCAGGTCGACCCCGGCAAACCCTGCGGGAGAGCGTGATCGCAGCTGCGACGGAGCTCGCAGGAGAAGAAGGCTAGGGCTCGCCGGACGGCTAGGCGAATCGAAGCAGACGAGGAGGGAAATTTTGTTTTTTGGGTGATTTACAGACGATGTGATGAGAATTGAAACGGTGGCAATGGTTAGAAATTCGCACAAAAAGAAAAAGGAATCGGCACTTTTTTCTTTTTTCTATATTTTTTTTTGTTTTTGTTATTGTTTTGCGTGAACTTGAAGACTTGAAGTTATTTTTGTAATTCAGGGATTTCTTTCTTTTTTCTAATTTTTGTTATAATTTCATCAAACTCAAAAAAGAAATAAATTTAATAAAGAAAATTTCCACGTGGATTCACTTTTCCCTTTTAACTTGGATCACAAATATTATGAATTGCATGCTTTTCGACCTTTTTAAAAGCCGGATCATTTGAGATTTGCGCAAATTGCACGTATCGACGAGTAAATTTCGAATTTCATTTTGCATAATCTTTCAAATTGGTATGTTGAAATTGGATAAATTTTAAATAAGAGCCCGAAGTGTCATCATTTTCTCAAATAAGGGTCTGAAGTAGACTTTATTTTAAATAAAAGTCTGAAGTGAATCTTATTTCAAATAAGGATCCGAAGTGACAACTTCAATCTCGAAAGAGGGTCTGACCTTACCGGGCTCAAAGGCGTTTTCATTTTTTTTTATTTTTTTTTCCTTTTCTGATTTTTCTTTCTTTCCATAGCAAAACTCAAAAAAGGAAAAAAAAAAAGGCTACAGTTAAAAAGAACAACTGGGAGGGCTGCCTGTGGAACTGCCCCATCACCGGTGGGGAGGCGACGATGACCGGCAAGGTACAACCCCATCACCGGTGGAGAGGTGACGATGGCTGGCAAGGTCGCTAGAGCCTCAGCAAGGGCCTGCTGGCCCTCTCCAGAAACCTGGAGAGGGTGGCGACCCTCTCCCAGGGACGGGAGAGCGAGGCAGCCCTCCCCTAGACCTGGGCGAGGGTTGGCGCCCTCCTTTTTGTTTTTTTCTTTCTTTAAAAATATTTATTTTTAATTTTTAATCTAATTTAACTAAAACTTATATTAAAATTATTTTAGGATAAAAATGCCCTCGGTTGGCTGGAAATTTTGTCTGGTCAATGAGCTGGTGGAGTTAGGTCATTCTTTGAAACTATTATAGCCACTTCGGTTCGAGAAAATGATAGTACTTCAAGCCTTTATTGAGAATTTTTTCCCTTGAAATTTGTTTGGTGAAATAGGGAACTTTTGCTTGAACTCAAATAAACAAGCCTTTTATATTTCTTACTATTTTAAGTACGACTTTTTAGTCATAAATATTCAACTCTTACTATACCGATAAAGCTAATAACTTTAAAGTCGTACCATCTTTTTAGTTTCCTAATAGTCCACGATTAGCGAAAGCCAATGTTTCAAGGTCGTCGGCGGAAGAAGGGTCTTGGATTTAACCGTAAAAAAAAATACTTGACTAATAAATAATTCACTTATGGATATGCGATCTGTCACGATCTTCATAGAGGCGAACCACCAAAGGAAAAACTAATGGATTACTAAGTGAATAATTAGCATGGACTCTCTCAAATCCATACCAACTGCAACATTCAAATTTTAATTTAATCATCCTTAAATGTGTAGATTAATTTATTTAGGAGAAGCCACTAATCTATTATGGTCGATTGGAAACCCAAGTAAAATGTGAAACAATATTTTACTTTTGTGGACTAGAAATTACATGGATACGAAGACTTGGTTATGAGATAAATTTAATGATCTTTCAATATCTTATTTCTTCATCACAAAAAAGATTTGCAAGTGGCCTTCGTCAATTTTAATCCTAAGCCACTTATATGCGATGGGATGATCATGCGTGGGTGCAAGTAAGAATTTTGACCCTCAATAAATCAAAACATGCAAATAAAATACATAAAAAATGGGAAAAACCTCAATGCATTGAGCAAAGCATAACTTCGTTATAATAATGCCTAGTGTTATGCAAGACGTTAATTCAAAATATGCATGATATAATCATGATCTCTAAATGTAAAGACAATTGATTTTTTTTTCTTTTTCTTCTTTAATAAATATTAGCGTAAATGCAACGCATGAAATGTAATTTATAATCCAAGTTATGTTTATGCGAGTTTTAATTTGAACTAATGACTTATGACATGAATTTAAATGCATTGTAAACGAATCCTAATGGTGGGCAAGATAATTATGCAATTTAATTATTTGAACCTAAGCATGAATTCACTAACTTACTTGGATATAATGATGTGGATACTACGATGTTGATGTATGACGTTGATATTTAAAATTGTGATTACCAAATGACATGTAATGTATGACATGGAATTTATTAAACTAATTGCATATGAGATACGCATGTTATTTCTACGATTTGCATGCGAGTATAGGAGAACTCGATCGGCACTTCGGTCCATAACACTTTTATTATCAAATTTTCACCGGAGAGAATCGCCATCAAGACAATTTTGACTCGTATTGTGAATCTGCTGAAAATACTAAAAGAGTGACTTTAGGTCAAAAAAGGTTTTTCACTCGCTCTAAATCAAAGGGTATTTCATCTCATTTATCGATACGGAAATAGAAGAAACTACCAACGTGTTAATAAGGGTCCATATGTTCTCGCAAGTAATACAATCTTATTGATCTGAAAGCTCTTTTATCAGGACAGTAATGAGGCGTTATCAACAACTTAGAGAAAGGAAAATTCAATTCATAGCTTTCAAAGAAGTACTCTTCATTCATCGTCACTGTTGGGTTCACAATTCAAAAATCGTGCAAAATAAGATAAAACCAATATTGCCCGCATTGCTTTCGAGTGAAGTTTTTAAATAATCAGTCCAGTTTTCGATTCTAGGTACGAAATCGAACCATCCTAATTGAGATATATTTTTTTTGTCAAAAAATACTTTCCTTTTCATTTTAAAGAGTAGAGAAAAACAAAGGGTTAATACCATGAAAAATCCTAAACTGGTACAGTTGGGGTAAAAACTTTTACCCCAAACTATTTTTTTGACCACAAAAAACCCCAAACCGGTACACTTGTGACAAATTTACCCCGAACTATTTTTTTGACCACCAAAAACCCCGAACTGGTATACTTGTGACAATTTTACCCCAACTAATTTTTTAATATTATTTTTTTTTTTTCGAATTTTTTTATTAATTTTTTTTCTTTTTTTTTTTCCTTAATATACTTCATCTTCAACCTTTGACCGGTCGCTGGACCGGCGACCAGCCAGAGGCGGAAGCCGGCGAGGTCGGCCCCGCCAGCCGCTGGCGAGGTCGGCCTCGCTAGTGGCCAGCAGGGCCGAGCCCTTGCCACCGGCCGGCGAGGTCGAGCCTCGCCAGATCTGGCGAGGGCTTGGCCCTACCGGCAGCTGGCGAGGCTCGACCTCGCCGGCGTTGGGCGGGGCTGGCCTCGCCAGATCTGGCGAGGGCTTAAGGAAAAAAAAGAAAATAAAAAAATTTATAAAGAAATTTGAAAAAAATAAAAAAATAATATTAAAAAATTAGTTGGGGTAAAATTGTCATAAGTATACCAGTTCGGGGTTTTTGATGGTTAAAAAAATAGTTCGGGATAAATTTGTCACAAGTGTACCAATTTGAGGTTTTTTGTGGTAAAAAAAAATAGTTTGGGGTAAAATTATCACAACTGTACCAGTTTAGGGTTTTTCATGGTATTAACCCCTTTGCTTTAATTTCGCTTCTCTTCTTTGTTTGAGACTTTTCAAGTGGATTGTTAGATATAATGTATAATTTAGGGTTTACTCTTCATTACTGTTCATTCTTTCCCTATATAAAGGGACTTGGCCTTGTAGTCTAAACTCATTTCAAACAATAATATACACAAAATTCTCTCATCTCAACTTGGTATCAGAGCTACATTGTTACCTGAGGAGCGCCCATCGAGCCTGCCACACCGTGGCCGCCACGACGCCAGCCGCACCGGCCGCGCCGCCCCGGTTCTCCGACAAGACCGAAGCTTTTCGTCACTGCTCGGTATACTTCCGCTGCTCATTTCGGAAAACCGAGACCACCAGCAGACTCGCCGCCCTCAGACGACCCACGTCCTGAAATTTCATCGCCAACAGCCGCCGGACGCCACTACACGCACCGCCACGCGCCGCCGCACTTCGGACCCAGGTAGCCCATTGCTGTTGACCGGTGTTTTGGATATCCTCCGCCGTGTTTTTCCAAAAGCCAACACCAACCCACGACTCGCCGCCCTCAGTATAGTCAGCCAGTCAAGTTTCGTCTCTTTTCGCCTCCGGACGCGCCCTCACGCGCCGCCCCAAGGACTGCGCGTGAGATCCACGCGCTTCCCCAGCTGACACGCGCCCGCACGTGCCTGGCACACGCCCGCCCTCGCCTGGCACACGCCGCACGCACCCGGCACACGCCCCAGCTGACGTCATCTGCCACGTCATCCATTTGACCGACCATTGACCGGCGTTGACCGGTGTTGACCGACCGTTGACCGGTTCAGCCCAAGCCGGTTCCGTCGATTTTCTGGCCATTTCGACCACTTTCTTACCGGTTTCCGGTGTTCTCCGACCGGTTCTTGAGGTATTCCGACGTCCTGAGTTCGTTTTTGCTGTTATTTTTCTCATATCAGCTCTCGGTATATTAGATTCTGCTGATTCCATAATAGTGAAGTGCATATCATGGATAGAATGGAAGTCTCAATGCCAATTCAGACT